ATATTTATATAAATATTTAAACTACGAATATATATGTTGGTTTCATTAGCTAAGCTATAAAATAGGTAAAATATTATATATATATATAGTTTTTTGGTATGCAGACATCACTGATGACGTGCAGATAGTTTTAAGTATTCACAATACAGTTCTGAAATTTTTATGTAAGTAATAATTCCGAACACACACAGAGCATAGGAAAAACAACTGATCAAATAATACTTTTATTCACACACGACTCATATATTCGTAATATAATTTCTGGTTGCTTGAGCATAGAACAGGTTAGAAGCATTCTTTATTTGTTTCATGTTTCGGATATTCGCACAAAACTACACAAGAGCTACTTGACCCATCTGTTCCTAATTGGAACTGATAGACTAGATGAAAGGCAGCTAATCAACAGCACCTACCACCAACGTTTGGGCTATTTCTAGGCCACCCCGGTTTAAACTTGAAGGAAAATGTTTCTGCCACCCTTCAAAATAAGAAATAACTCACTTAGCAGAATACAGAACAAGGTACAGGCAAGTACAAGCCTTATGAAGCAATCATTGTAGTATGTAATTTTTGTCTAAGGTACAGTCGATTAGCGCGACACAAACGTAAAACCTTCTCACATCTGATTTCAAGGATGTTACCAGCTATATACAAAACGCCCGCAAGAACATTTATATAAATGATCTGGGTATATCTAGACATAGATGTATACTTTCCAATAGTTGTAGAAGGCTCAAATTTGCTTTATCTTTTCCAATTGTCGCAGTATCATCAGACAAACTTTTTATATTTTGATCTTCTTTTCTTTAAAAGGATAAAACTTTCTGATGCTAGTTTATTGACTAAAAACCGCAATATACCTCCTTTAAACAAATAAACTTAACTCTTCTATAAAATATGAAAACAAAGATACACTGTAAGCACTTTAGGGGTTTGTGTGAGCTATCTTATTAGAATTATCTTAGCTAAAACGTAAAATTTATTTAACAATCATAACTTCATGTTTTTGTTTCGAGATTTAGGATCTTTAAGTTTTAGTTAAGTATGTTGAGTGCTCTCGCTATCAACAATATTTTCAGCCGTAAACTCAGGAGATTCAGGTGAGTGTTAAATCCATATATTAAGCTAACCACGAAAAAATAATGATTAGAATACTTTCGCTATTAACAATATTTTCAGCCGTAAAAACATATTAGGATATTTGGGTTTGTCCTAAATCCATATTGTTACGACAGCGGAAATCACGTGACGCTAGTAACACGTCATTATATTCTCGAAGGTTCGTGAATGCTCGAGTGTTTACTAGATGTGCGGTATTCTTGTATATAAGACCGTCAAGAAGTGACGGCAACAATGGAACTGAATTGCAGACAGAGATAGAGACGGACAATTGAGTCAAGTGCGTAAATCGTTCGTTGTGAATTATAGCGTTTGTTTAAGTTATAGCGTGACTGTGGAAATTAAGTGTATTGCAAAGTTGTATTGAGAAAGAATAAACCAGTTTTATTTAAGAAGGATTTGTATCGCTAAAGTTTCTTCGGAAAGAATTTTTACGGAAAATTAACAAACGAACAAAGAGGCGTAACAAATTGCTGTCAGAAAGTGGGACGGAAAAGAAAAAAAATGGAAATGAGAAGTGGCAAATCAAACTACAGCTTAGCAGATTTGATGGAAGCAATATAAGAACAACAAAAGAAACAAGAAGAACGAGAAAAGAAACAAGAAAAGAAACAATAAGAGAGACAACAGCAAGAAAATCTGCAACAGTGGCAGCTCGAACAGCAAAATAAACAAGAAGAGAGATCACAGAAGTTGTTGGAGGAAAAAGAAGAGAGATTACAGCAGTTGTTGGAGG